ACGCAGTATTAACAGTGATAATGCGTGGACACTTATTCCCTGTGCTGCGTTACGCGTTGTGTGGAGCGGGATTGGAACTATACTTTGCCCGTGCGTGACGGCGGGCCGTCTGGCATTTTCTGGTCGCATCGCGGTGTTTGCTCGGCGCGTGCCTGGACAGTGCGAAGGTCCGGGGGGGGGGGGGGGGGGGGTGGTCGTAACTTTTTGGCTATGAGTGGTAAAAACCTGATTCAAAAATCAAGTTGTTGTTCACCACCAACTATATTCACCAAGATATTAGGCAAATTAATTTGCCTATTTTGAAAGTTAAATTTTACCTAACATTTGTGAAAAAACCTTACCCAACACCTGTTGTGTTAAAATTGTACCTAACTATGTTGTTAGTATATTATGTAGGGAATTTTAAGATTATTTTCTTTTTACGTTTCTAAAATGTATAAACAGGTGCGGATCAGGGGGTTGGGGTATTGGGGTCAACCCCCCCCCCCCCCCCAGCTCTGTCAAAAATGTTTTTCATAGAAATTCAAAACAAGTTATGCAACCCCCCTCCTCCCCCAGCGCTGACACTCTAAAAAAATATATACTGGTTTTAATGTCCGCCTGTGCACAAAATGCTAACATAGCCAGATTTGTTAGGGGGTATTTGTCTACTATTCTGTAATATAGTGTTAATGGTCATCGGCTTGAACACCCCATTGAAATTATGGTATGAGCACCCCCCCCCCAACCCCCTACACACCTATTGATTTTGCGGAGCCAAGTGCCCGGACAAAAAAAAAATATGTCTATATTTCAGCAATGATTTGCTGACGACCTCCCCCCCCCCTCCCCTGCAGAAAGTCTTGGATCCGCTCCTGATAAAACTTAATCTGTTCATTACGTTTCTTACATTCTATACATTTCATATATATTCTATGCATTATATCTGAATTTATGATCATTTAGCTTGGGAAAAAACACAGCCACAAATGGTATGTAGCGAAAACACAGGTTTTCAGAGCCATTTTTCCCCAACTGTTGCATGCAACTGAACCATTCTATTGTCAATCTATTTCGACAGTTTCTATAATGCCATTTGATTGTGTTGGATGTTGATATTGCACCGAGTGGAGGAATACGATAGAAGTATTTATTTTCAACGAAAATGCAGTTGAAATAGTAAAAAACTTCATTTTGTATTTGCACCACACCAAAAATTGAAATCAAGGAATTGTATGATTTCATAATATTTTCATTTGGGCAATTTATTTCAGAAATGAACAAACTCAGTGAAATTAACAAACTCACCGATTGGATTTGTTTATAAACAAACTCAGGGTACGATTAGCTAGCCGCTTTTATCTGTATGTACAGGTTGTTTTTTTTACAATACATTTAGTTTTTTTACCTTGATCGTAATATTCTTTTAAATTTATCACTTGCAACATTTACTTTTGAAAGTTTAGACGTAGTTTCTTTTATATATTTTCTTCCCAGGCATTGATATTATGTCTCTGAAATAGATGTGAATTTCCTTTACAACCATTTCTCAAAGTCGTGTCATGTAAGACCCTTTTTAAGACTGTAAAATGTGAAATATTTTACTGATGAAAAAAGCCAATTGTGAGCCTCAGAAGCACTCAACAAGTACGTACATGCGCACAAACTAAATGACACCTATAATATGAAAAGACATGGATATATCGTCGCTGATCATTGTGCTGTGTCACATTCGTAATGATTTGACATTGGATTCATTTTAGAGAGCCTATTAGCTACAACATGTGTCCCATCCAGAGCTAGCTCCAAATGGTACTGCTCCAACCCTACCCCTACAACCCTACCACCAGTCCCCACCCCTTCACCCCACCCCCATTCCCCCTTTGCGTTATGGTAGGGGTACGGTAAATTACCGTTAAAATAACGGGACATCCATGCAGTATATCACGATACCTTCATTACCTAGGTACCCGTAACTGACTGTCATGTCATAGTTTATCGTTGGCAACCCGTTAAATTAAGCTTGCATTTTTTTTTACCGTAAATGTGATGTCCTTTTTTAAATATATTTTTTCTTTCATGAACTCACCAAACAAGTACATCACACGTTTAGAAATAAAGCAACGCGTCTAGCAATAGTTTGCTGCCTTTGGGAAAATGCAATCATTACTAACTAACTTTGCTTGAACAGCCCCGTCCTTTATTTCGTATATTACAGTTTTTATATCATTCAATGTTTTATCAATAACGATCAACCGGTGAACGCATCTTTATATCTTACCTTTAAATGGTTGTTCGCTGTCTTCATGCAAATCTTTCGATAGTCCAGTGAGAAGACTTAGACGAAACGCAAGCAGCAAAGCTCTTCTAATGCAAACAGGTAAAGCGATTCCCACCAAGGCCCAAACCAACAAGAGACGGATCACGCCACAGTGACTCACAGCCCAATTAGTGGCTTATTGATAGCATTATCTAGTTGAAGTGTTTACCACCGTAGGAAAAAAAAGATAATTATGTTCCTATTATTAGCATGGGTCCAACTTTGAGTATTGAAACTTCGAGAGTTTAGTCAACTTTCATCTTTCACATACATAGGCCTGAACCTACTACCAGCCTGTATCGTGTCTTAGGTCGTCCATATTATTAAGAGAGAAATATCTGGTAAAGATGCAGCTGCACCTATATAGTTGTCTTATTGATGCCAAGTGCGTATTCTCTCGAGATCTGTTTATGTCAATGAGTTCATCGTGTGTTGATATCACGGAATAAATTAATATAGCCATATTTGGCGAGATGTAGTGGATTTTTTTCAGAATGGTCAGATGTCTTTCAATGCTTTCATTGTCCGATGTCTTTCATGTTTTTATTCCATAGCTACCTAGTGTGTACAGAGAGTACGATTGAAACTGAAGACTGCCCTGCAAATATATCACCGAACGTCCTGCCACACAAATCTAAATGTAGTGACATTGCAACAGACATACAGGTATATTATTAGTTCAATACAATTACACCTCTTTGTTTGGTTGAACTTCTCCGGAAAAGATACGACTATCAGTCTTCGCCTTTAATACAGACCCCCAAAATGAAATCCTTTGTCGCAACTCTTCTCTGTGGCTCATGGTCTCTTGGAGCAGTCCGTCATACACAAACAAACTGTGCTCCAAAAAACTCACTGCCACACACCGTCACGACACTTTCGTCCACTTCACCACACGACTATTCATGCTCACACCGCCTGTTGAATAAAATTATTCATGAATTTATGTTTTGTCTATGCCGCAAGTAAAATGAGGCGGCATCTTCTAGTCCAAAGCCTTCTGATGAATCCACCGCAGATTTTTCAAGCATGCCTCATTATTCAAACTCCACATCAGTTTCAAGAACGATACAAAATCCCCAACTTCTTCGGTCTCCAGATGCCTCCTTACTTAGTTTCATAAACACGAAGACCTTAACCTCACGTGCAAGATTGTACAGCAAGGAATGCGAGGATGACAAAAGCTGGGATGCTTGACGCCCAAACAGCCGTGGCACCAGACAACACTGCTTTAGGAGTAACCCCTGCAAAGAAAAAAAAAGTGTCAAAGAAATTTTGCAGGTTTAGTGTAATATTTAAGACGCTAAAAGAAGGGAAGCTGGCACTCCTGACGTGTTTCAAGCTCCCTCCCCTCCAGCGCCATTGTGAACCAACAGTAGCGAAACCAACACATTTACCTGACGCTTTGTTTTAAAGTAAGCCTACCACAACAATGTTTCCAGAAGTTTTCTTCAACCCGTGGCATTACCCGAAATCCGGATGGGGTAAAAGCTGACATGTTTTTCAGTAAGGTGAGTGGGACAAGAATGTCATTACAGTCGACTCTCGCTAACACAAACTCGGCCGATCCTTGCCAAAATGTTGTTATATCACAATGTATTTAGTGGGGGTGGCAGTCCCATTAACTGTGCACATTAATGCATAGTTGGGATAAGGCGTTATGTTTGCTATATAACCAGATTTTGTTTTATTAACAGTGCATTAACAACAGTCAACTGTTTTAAAGCAGAGTTTGAGAACCATAAAGAAACAACATCCTCACTTATTTTCCTGTAATTACGCTTAAATGCAAATTTCCAGCCAACTGTTTTTCCTCGTCAAAACAGTTTCGGATTCGAGCACTTCGCGCAAAAATTCAAATTCATAGACGAATGTTTCTGTAATGCAGCAGTAAAACCGAACGTCAATATTTATGAAAAGATGTCGGCCTATGCATCAGATTCCGGAGTAAAACTTGTACATTTAAAACAAACAACTGTTTGGCTTACTTTGTGCAGCTGTAACCTTGGCAACCGTCGTTGTTGCCAATAGTGGCGTAGATGGAGCATTTTCTAATAATAAGAATGAAAAGTGAAACAAATTTCATTGAGTGCAGCTTCACGTTTAGCGTTGCAACACAGATTCAATGTGTGACTTGTTGAGAGTTATTTATTCCGTATCATCCAACGAAAAAAGGAGAACTTTCTAGATTTTGTTCGAGTCTTCTCATTGCCTATTTCACCAGCTAACTTGAAATAGAAAAATGTAAACACTGTCAAAAATAGAACAAAGTTACACCCTACCCAGTGGTTAGGACTTGAAAAGAAAAATAAGCTGACTTCAGAACTATGAGTACAAATCTGAACTTTTTAACTCTGACATCAAAATGTGTATTCATTCTGGAACAATTGCAGGAACGGTGTCTTGCCCAAGGGCAGACACTCTCGCAGTGCTCCGCAATCAGAGGCCTTTCCCAGCGTCTCAATTGGCGAAATCACACCTACTTGATCGCGCATATGACCTTTCACCTACTTCATCTATCAGGAGGTAAGAGTGCAGAGTCTTGTTAGTTTTTTTGCCTATTGCTGTCGAAATGTCACAAGCGCTGCAACCTCAAAAAAATATTTGGCTATAATTTGTGTCTATGTGCAGCTTGATCTTGTTAAGCACAAACTAGGGTGGCACGGGTGGCTTGTGCGTAAAGCGCTCGCCTCTCACCAAGATGACCACGGTTCGCATCCTGGCCGCGGATCGCATGTGAGTAGAGTTGTGCGTTGGTTCTCTCCTGTGCCACGAGGGTTTTTCTCCGGGCCCTCCGGTTTTCCTCCCTCCGGAAAAATCAAACACTTTCGATCTCAGGCTGTGCTCCGTGGTCTTATATGGGTCGATGTGGCCGGCAGCCAGAAGCGCCTTTACGTGCCAGCGGCCCGACCACGTTGTAGCCGCGTCCTTCGCAATTCAGCATCCCAGCTGCGAGTAAGGATGATTAGCCTCCCAAATTATTATTATTATTATTATTATTATAACTAGTGAAACAAAACAAAGCAAGAAATATTGTGGAAAAGAGAAAAGAACATGTGATTCAAGAAAATGTTTTTCTGGAATGAAGATTATGCTCCTTACTTGGGGTGTTGTTGTCCAATGGTTACGGTGTTTGACTCGTGTGCCGTGGTACACGGGTTCGAATCCTGACCGTGGGAACATGGTGCTTGTGCTCTTGAGCAATGCACTTTACCATTATTGCTTCCTCCTTCTGATGGAACGTAATGTCGTAGGTCCAGTGCATTGTGAAATGCACGTTAAAGAACCCAGTAACACTTATCGCTAAGAGAAGGGGTTCGCCCTGGTGTTTCTGGCAGTGGCTGCAATATGTGCTGCAGCACCTTGTAAACCCTTATAAGGTGCTACATAATGGGTCTCATATTTCTCATAAACTACATTAGCTGTCTTTAATAACAGACATAATTTCCAGGGCCTTGAGTACCTCATTGTTGGTAGATACGTATGCTATGTAAGACTCCGGTATTAATATTATTGTTAATATTTTTAACTCACTATCGTGCTGGTAAACACGGCAGCCCAATTATATTCTTAATCTTAAGAATTTTGGACAAAAGTTGGATAAATCACCCTAATTCAGTCCTTATAAAGGCTGTTTCATAAATCATGTGAATGCAAAGCGAATTTGACGTCACCAAACATTCACTGCGAAATTTGCCAAAACTGAAATCTGTTCAGTTTTGAAAATTCGCAGCATGAACGCAAGCTGTGATGTTACAAATGTGCAATAGCGTTCACGGTCACGCTGGGCACTTTCAATCACATGTCGTCCAAATCTCAAGGCAATGACCATCTATTCATTTGAAATGCTCTTGGTCCTCATTCATCCCTTGTAAGTTGCTACTTCGCCTTTCTGGCAAACAAAAGCAGCTCATAATTATTCCGTTGCAGTTTTGAACAGAAAATCTTTGACCAATAGTCATAACTGTAAAACCAGTCCTTACAATCCTCCCCCTTTTTCACGTCTTCCCCGCTTGTAAAATCAATACAGAGAGAACTCGGCCACGTTCTCCAGCTCCCAGCCCATACCGCACGCCGTCCATGACATGCCCACACCAGAAACCACCAAAGAATCCGTGGAGAAGTGAATCCTCAGCGTCACCTTCTCACAGCCGGTCGCCTTTCTTTTTGGGGCCTTAGGTGGATTTTTAACCCTCTGCTTACTACAGGTGAATTTTGTCGACAAAAATCGAGCATCCTGCTGCTTACCATATGCGACTTAACAGGAAGTTGACCAGGAAACCACACACAGAACACCCTCAATGCAGATCTAATTCACCGCTTTTCAACAAGCTGGCATATTTGTATATTTTGCTGACCATACATTAACCTTATATCAGCTGCAAGTGTGTTTTCAGATCATTCTATTATGTAGTTTCCTCATAGTAATTTTTTTTTAAAAGATTGAGATAAATGCTTCAGAGGTATCCATGCATGATTTCAGGTATGGAGTGCCATTTTGTCATGTGTTGAAATGGCTTTCAGTTTGATAAATGGAACAAGAGCAAAAAATAGACATAATTTTGTAATATTTGAATATTTTTACATCACATGAAAGACTTAAGTTCAAGACCAAACTTTAATCACAACCTTTTTTTTATTTTAATGGTTCCACTTCATTCAGGCTGACCATATCCAACCAATACTTGCCAGGGATAAAGTTAAGATTCCAAGCTTTAAAACGGTGTAAAAATAATGGTGGTATGTATTCCCGCGCCGACGCTAGAGTTGCGGGTATTTTGGGACGCGCTGTAGTTCAGGTTCCTCAAAAAAGCCCGTACAGTCATGTTTTTTTGTTTTTTTTTCAATATTTAATCTTTTTTGTTCTTTTCCCTTGTCCCAACAGACACCTATGCAGAGACTAGTTAAGCGCATGACCAGGGTTTTCACCAAACTTAGCCCCGACGAAACCATCAAGAAACTCACCGCCGTACTAGAGAAGATGGGCTACAGCTGGAAAACGACAACAGCAAGACAGGTCAGATATGTTAGCCTGTATAACTAAAATAATACTTATTGGACAATGCCTGCTGAGTGGGGAGTGTGGCCTAGTTGTTAGGGCTCGTGACTCATGATCAGATGGCGAGGGGTTCGAATCTAGCTGTTGGCAATATGTTGTGTCCTTGGGCAAGCCACCCCACATGCCTCTCTCCACCCAGGAGTATAAATGGGTCCCGTCATTAGCTGAGGAGCAACCTGCGATGGACTAGCATCCCATCCAGGGGGAGTGGAAATATTCTCAGTCGTTGCATGCTACTGAAACCGGAGATAAATGCCGGCTTGATGGGCCACATTGGCTCATGGCAGACTTTAAGTCTTTTTTTTTTCACTGCTTAGGCCAAAAAAAAAAGTCTCCGGTTTCTGGTATGCGCGCGCGTCGCCGTAGCCATGCTCGTCGGCAAAATGAAAAAGTTTTTTTTTTCAATACAAGATGATGTCTCAAAACCGCCAAACTCACTGGTTTGACTGGTATCCTGCTGCTGCACAATTTTAACGTGTTTTTAGATGGGGTTAAGATCGAGAATAAGCTTTATGTGGCCTCTCTGGACTCCCATATATTTGCACTAAGTTTAGTCGGGCACCATTTGCAGTCATCAGCCGACATTTGAAGCCAAAAAAACCCCAAAAAACAGGTAAAAAAAAAAAAAAGCCGCGTCGCCGCACCACTTTTGGGGCAAGCTCCATACCAGAAACCGGAGACTTTTTTTTTGGACTTAAAGACAGATTCTGATTTCAAATTTGGAATCGACTCTATTCTATTCGGCTCTAACCAGGAATCACCCAGATTGACTTGTTGATTTTGTGTGACTGAGTACTTTTTGTGTTTTTGTTTGACACAGGTCACAATCACATCTCTGGATCGACGAAAGAACCCGCTGATCTTCAAAGCTCACCTGCACGAGATGGACGACAAAGTACTTGTAGACTTCAGACTATCAAAGGTAATACATTCACGGTTCCGGTCTTTAATATGTCACTGGAGTGCCTCTATTTCAACTTGGGCGCCGATTTTGTATTTTAAGTAGCCTATACAGGGTGAGACCCCCCACCCCCCCCCCCAAAAAAAAAAAACAAATACCCCACACACACACAAAGCGGAATATGAAACCAAGATCTCTCGATTCAGGACAGTAGTTTTTGATGCAAAGTTTTTTTTTTGAACCACATATAAATGCCCATAATTTAGCACCCGGGAAACCTTTGGTTATGCATATTTGCGGGAAATGGGATTGCGCGTTTATTAACAAACGTATTTTGCAAAACAACCAGGAGAATTGTGTGGTATGGTTCATATGCTGAACGTTGCTTTAATGTTTACTTTCCATTAAAAGGGAACCTAGTCAGTTTCCCATCATGGTTGTTTTTGTTGGAAATTTTCCCAAAGTCTAATTCGAAACACTGAATTGTCTTTATTTCCAAAACCTTCTTCCACTTTTTAGGGTGATGGAATCGAGTTCAAGCGACACTTCCTCAGGATAAAAGGAAAGCTGGCGCACATCACCACCAAAGTACCCCTGCTCTCCCCTTTTGTCTAAATGGTCTGACCCAGCTGGGTCAAAGGTCACAACAGGGTAGCAGTATAAATACCAACTCTTCCATTAATTATGCAGGTAGTTTTGTATCTCTATTTTTGTCAGGGTTTTATGCGATCATGAGTTCCTACGATCAGCTTGTTCCACAATCCACAGTGCCTGGAAAAAATCTCGCAATCTTTAGAACTTCAGGAATTGTGGCACTTTACTCACGATCAGGTGGTGATTCATTGTTAACGATGTCAACTTGTCGTCAAATTTGGCAGGCTTGTTGTTTGAGAAACTTGATTTATTTCAATTCAAACTTGGCACAGTTACACTGCATGCGAATCGCATGGGTGCCACTGCCAATTTACACATGTGTCCAGGGATAGCCGATTTTGTTGGACAATGCCTTCAGTTGCTTGACTGCCAATTTGTGTGTTTGCTAAGTTTGGCATGATGATAAATCTCCAGATACCTTTAAATCTGCAATTTTTTTCCCGGCGTTTTCCTGATTCAAAATGAATAAACCAACCATTTTATAAAATTGAATTGTCCATGATAGTCAACCACAAGCTTTGACAAGTAAGGAGGAGAGAATTGACCAGAAAATGTTGATCAACTTACTTTCTGACTTATCTGATCTGACTTATGAGGACTTGCTGACGTCAACTCTACTGCTATTTCATGTTCCTTCGGTTGTGTAACCTGTTCTGTAAATATCTAGAAGCCAAATAATGAGTTCCTTGCTAATGTTCAGCTTATCTGGAACCGGAAACAGTTAATTATATTCTCGTCTTCTTCACTGTGCCAAACAAAAATGATTCGATTTTCATGTGTACAATTTCTTTAATCTTTTGTACCGATCATCACGTTTGCTAACGTTTTGCATTGCAAGATATATTTTTGTAATCTTAAAAGAAGCTTTTTGAAGAAAATAAAGTTGTTACAAAGTTAATTAAAGATCCACTAGAAAAAAAAATTCCTTGAGTTCTTTGAAAAAAAATTCTTTGTCGGCAATTCTGAATGAGTGAATTTCTCGGCTTAAAATGTAGGTCCTGTGAATATTATACAAATATTGAGTGGCTCAACGTGGAATGGGAGGAATATTATCGCAAGGTAAAATCTGGACTTTTCCATTTCACGAGGCGAAGCCGAGTGAAATGGAAAAGTCCAGGTTTTACCGAGCGATAATATTCCTCCCATTTCACAATTTAAAGCCACTCAATATTTGTTTTATATAACTGACATATAGATCCTTGTCATTTGATATATTTGAACTTTTATTTCAATACAAACCTGGAGGAAAATGTATTTGTCTCTTCCAAACCACCCCTTCACGAAAATGTTTGAACCCAACGCTGTAGCGCTGGCTCTTTGGAACAATACGCGCAACGCTGAACGCGCACACCAGCATGCATTTGCACACAAATACCGCGTCTTGATCCTAACTGTTGAATAGTATTTCCCATTCCCCATGGGCGGATAGTACTTTTTGAGCCGCGGCGTGAATGGAAGCAATAACGAATGCCATGTGATGTGAGTTCCACCAATCAAATGACTAGGATCTGTATGTCAGTTATATAAAGTACATTAATAAATACCTTGGAGAGTTGATGGTTTCTGATTGGTCGAGACTCGATCACGTGGCCGGTCATTAACGGTGATAATGGACCGGCTTCAAAGATCAAGCGAATAAATGGCCCCTGAACCAGCATTGATCCAGCCCCGTTCAGCCCCATGCAAGCCAATGATTGGTCAAAATATAGTAACAGTCCTGCGGTAGCTTTGAACAATTGAGCACTGCACATGCGCTCAACCCCTGTCGCGTGAGACTGACGCGCGCGTACGCAACACAGTTGCTAGGGATGCGTGCGTACCGTGCGCGCGCGTAAGGAAGTTTTGAAACGACATCGTACACTCAGCAGTGCAGTATATACTGAGGATGTTTACGACGAAAGCGTAGATCTACGATTTATTTTCTTTGAAACACTTCACCCACCGACATATTTACCTTTCCTAAACCGAGCATCTTTGTAATTCCGGACACAAGGAATGTGTAAACGAGATTTCAGTTTCCTCCATCAGGTAAAGATATGAAAACATTGTTGTAATTTGTTTCGCTACGGCAGCAGTTTCTGTTGAGTTTATGTCGTTATAGCTGTTAAGCTAAAATATGGCCCATGAACATGAACACAAAAAAGTCTGGAAATATCGCCTGAAAAAAGTCACAAAATTGGAGCATTTAACTGTTTATTTCGTTTATAAAGGTATTTATTAATGGGAATAACAGTGTGAGGATCCGGTCTTCACTGCGTGATAATGACCGGGTGATAATGACCGGGTGATAATGACCGGGTGTGACCGCTGTTAATGGACCTCGACTTCGTCTCGGTCCATTAACAGCGGTCACCCCTACACCCGGTCATTATCACGCAGTGAAGACCGGATCCTCACACTGTTATTCCCTTATTATTTTGGCCGTGCACAGCAAGACAGCAAAAACAGAGAATGCCATGGGACGCGCTCTGTGTTGTTTTGTCACTTGTACTTTGTAGTTAAATTTGGTGCTTATGTAACTCAGAAAAGGGACACAGTGGGAACTCGTAACATTAAATAAATCTACACTAAAATTCAATCTAAACCGAAAAAGGGTGAGGAGAAAACGCAGGATAATTGAAGAACAGAGACAGGAAAAACAAATTATATTTCTGAGAAACGAGCCAAAGAAAACTATTTATTTGAAGTTAACCAAACAAAAGAAAACAATTTTAAGTAAGAGCTAATACTAAAATTAATCAAGATTTCTGGCAAACAAATCAACCTTACAGAATCCTAAATTTAAGACCAGAGCTAAATTTAAAACAAGTTTTGAAATTCAAGAGAAAGGATGAATAAATCGTCAACAACCGAGCACTTATGACCACCAATGAGGATGAACAAAGGACCTTCAGGCATGCAACTTTTCCCGGATAAGCCCATTTCCTCGTTGTTCACTTCATACTTATGCCATTCAAAATTGAAAGTCACTGTACAAGCAGGTGCGGTTCTACAGGGGGGCTGGGGGGGGGGCTGTAGCCCCCCCAAAATTTTGTCTAGCCCCCCGAAAATAAATTTCCCGTCAAAAAAAATGGCATTAGCAAAGAGAAGGATTGTGATGTACATGCGAACGGTCTCCCCCTAAAGAAGAAATAGCCGTGACAAGGGTGCATTAGTTAATATATTGTGAATGATTTTAGGATTTTATTGGCGCTCCCCATTGAAAATATGGCATGAGCAATGCATTATTCAATATAAGTGAAACTTGTACTGACTGTTGTCAAAACCCAGACTGAATGATGGCTGAATGTGGGGAAAAAAACCTGGTAGTCTTTCCCGTTATTGTGGGAAACAAGGACTTATCATAATCGGCATTATTTTGAGTGGATTTCCTGATTGTCAGTTGTGCATTCAGGGCTATTCGTGATTACATACATTTCCATCAATATTTCTAACATGTTTCAAGCGTTATGTATGGTCAAGGTCTATTTGAATATACAAGGGTTATAATATCGACTTTAATATATCAAAATATACAACAAAAAATCCAATGTTTTTTTATCTCCCAAGTATTCGTCTATACTGAGTTATTTTATAACAATTTGACATATACGTTTTCGGATTTTATTGTTTGAAATTAAAACCCTCTATGACATAACTAGACAATACAACTTGTGTGTGCATATTCTATCTGCAGTAAGCATAATTCACTTTCCCTTTACGGTCATCATGGTGACGGACAAGCCGCAATCAATGACCATTCACCGGGTAATATGTTCTTTTCGTGACATGAGCATCACATTTAGATCGCAACTTGAATGTGGGGGGTCTAATAATTTCGGTTAGGTTGAGATTAAGAACTCATACATGTGTAGCTTCTAGTAACCGTTGCCGACGGCGAGTGTCTTTCAACTTTTAACTGTGTAAAGTAGAATGATTGCGGGTAACACCTTAATGGAAATGAGTAATCGCTTTTTGGAAGAAGTGTGGTTCCAAGAAGAACCGGTTGGTTGAGTGTTGGGAATATATGCTGAATAATGCTCAAACAAACCGTTTCGAAGCAATAATAGACCTGACGAATCGTCTACTGAGGTAGCGCACATAATTAAACCGCTAAGTGCCTGCAACGACCTTTTGAGTCATTTTAATATGTTAAAGAAATAAGGCGCCCTAACGTATCGATGAAGAAGATCTTGTTAAGATCGATATACGTCAGACCGCCTTAATAATAGATTTGTATATTTCAGGTTAATCCAGTCAGAAAGCACTTTGCGGTAGTCTTATTTAGTTTCCTTCGTATTCTATTATTTTTTTTTATTATTATCATTATTTTCAAAATATTTATGTTTTATCCCAAGGCCGCCTCAAGTTCATATTGGGATTTTAAACCAACCAAAACGCGTGTTAGGGAAGGCGGTTTTGTGCTGGATGACATCGTTGGCATCACACCTTGTGATATATCTTTACAGAGTACCGGTCAGCCACTGCCAGCTGCTGCCCGTCTGCTGTGCTTGTGATTCCACAGGGGGCGTACAGCCCCTGGGCCACGCAGCTGACAAACTGACCGGCACAGTTATAGTGGTGTATGTGACCGGTGTTGTACTTGCCTGTGTCCGCTGCAAGGTAGATACCCGAGCTGTTGCTGCATACACCCGCGCAGTGTTTCACCGGTTCACCGTCGATGGTTGGCCGGATTGTGTTTACAGTCACAGCGTTGCCATTAGAAACCTCCACTATCTCCACTAGTCCCTGCTCCCCGTCACTGATCACAATCCAACCATTGCTCAGTACAGCCAAGAACTCAGGTGTTATCTTCACTGGCATGGTGTGTAGGATCTCACCATTCCTGGGATCGAGCTCAACCAATACCTTTTTCTTGAGACCCACTATGATGTTACCATTCGGCATGATTGCCACGCTGTACAGGCTATTGTCTACAGTGCCAGCCTGATCCTCCGGCACGACGTGGAAATCACACTTGT